GGATTAATCCTCCTGAAGGTACTCCTTACTTCTGCTGAGGTCACGCTGAGATGCTCTTCATCCGGTGGTGAGGTGAGTCTGGTGCTGGGTGGTCTGTTCGGGTCTTCAAAGCGTGCATAGAACTTGTTGAGGGCATCAGGCAGAGATGGGTCTTTGGGACATTGTTCACTCCTTCCTTTATAATCTGTTATGCACTTAATGCCCCTCCACATGCTCCGAGGGTCTTGTGAGATGAATTGACCCTCGATCCTCTTTGCATATGTGGCCTTGGCCCTCTTAATACCAGCAACCAGCTCTTTTCTTGTCCTACTCAGCTCCTCTGAGTTTCCAGACCTGAAGGCAGTGTTCCTGGCTTCCAGCAGGGTACGCACCTCTGCATTCAGCCAAGGTTTTCTGTTTGAGTAGCTTTTAACATTTCTGATAGTGGAGACTGTGTCAGTACATGTACTAATGTAACCCAGTACTGAGGATGTGTATTGGTCAAGATCAAGCGAACCTCCATTTTCAGCAGCTTCTCTGAAAACCTGCCAGTCTGTTCGGTCAAAACAATCTCTCAGTATGGGGCCACTGTCCTGGATCCAACATTTAACTTTCTTTTGAACCGGTCTGGAGCGTCTCAGCGGGGGCATGTAAGCAGGAGCCAAGAAGATTGAGATGTGGTCTGACAGTCCTAGGTGGGGGCGGGGTTCGGCTTTGTATGCATCTTTTACGTTCGTGTAAACACGGTCCAGCGTGCGGTCTCCACGTGTCGGAATCGTCACATGCTGATTAAAGCTTGGGAGACAGTCCTTTAGATTCACGTGGTTAAAGTCTCCAGCTACCACGTAAAGAGCCTCGGGGTGTTTGTTCTGCAGCGAGCTGATGATATCATGAAGCTCCTGTAGTGATTCATTAGCATTAGCGTCCGGAGGAATGTAAACAACTGTGATAAAAGTCACTGTGAACTCTCGGGGTAGATAATGTGGCCGACATTTCACTGTTATTTGCTCCAAAGCCTTCGAGCATGAGCTATTTACAACAGTACAGTTCGTGGACCAACTTTTACTCACGTAAATGCACACTCCGCCCCCCCGTGATTTCCCTGTTAGCTCGCTGCAGCGGTCCGCTCGAAATAAAAGTCTGTCATCCAGCTGGAAGACTGAGTCCGGCGTTTCACTTGTAATCCACGTTTCTGTGAGGCAAAGCACTGCACACTTCTTCATCTCTTCTGAGGCGCCCGCTCTCAGACGAAGTAAATCCACCTTGTTGTCCAACGAGCGGACATTCGACAGAAAGAGAGACGGCATGGGGAGTTTACCGGCTTTAGCGTTAGCTCGTAGCCTCACCATAACCCCCGCCCGGCATCCTCTCCTCTTAAGCCGGGAGCAGCGCTTCCTCTTCTGCCCGCTGGAACGCCTCTGCTGCAGCTTCCAGGTAGATGACTTTAAGATCTGCATTCTGCCGAGCGTAGCTTTGAGTTTGTTGCTGATTTCTGCTATATTTCGTGGCAAATCCGCTCCTATTCTCATCAGTTCGGTTCGGCTATAGTTCACACGCATAAATCGCGCAGAGTCAGGCACAGAGTCAATATCAAAACTTCTAAAAACTGGGATGGTACCGGGAGCCTGTGAAGCTGCAACTGCTCTGAGCGCGGCCATCTTGGTGTTATTTTTATTGTGTTTATTTTCTGACAAATACCCACCAAGTATGTACAACAGCAACTCTACAGGTAAAAACTATACAAAATAAAACTACATATAAAAATAAAGATGTTTAGGACTTCTGTAACTCCCCTGAACTACAGCACGATACTCAAAACAACTTGGCTGTCCTGTCAGAAGACTGTTCTCTGTTAGCTCAACTTAAAGTCCACAAACTTTAGTGCACTCAGGCCTTCCTGCTCAAGTTTCTTACGTGTTCTCAGAGACGTTTTGCACGTCTTCTGATCCTTCGCGACACGCGAGGAACGCTGACACTTGTGCAAATGACTTTTCATTTAAATGTGCCGTCTGTGTCCACAGCTCAACCACAATGGTTTCACTGGACGCTCAGAAAGTGCTTTTAGTCCAACCACCTGCAAATCACCGACATGCGTTTCCTTAGATATAAAGGACTGGTACACCTAAAGTATTCATCTGTTATATGTAGTATAACAATATACTAGCGCTATAGAGTACTAGTACTCTTTATAGGGTACAACAAAAACGTCACTAAACTGAGGAAAAAAGTAAAAGTATGACCATAAAAAGGAAAAGCTGTTGCAAACAGTTCTGTTTCAGCAGGAAGCAGATCCTTTAGGTCCTGATGGAGTCCAGATCCAAACGTCACTGAGTCTTCAGACTGGAAAGGAGACTTCCTGCAGTTTGATTCCCGATGCGGTTTACAAACAACTATGAAACACATTTAATGTAAAACCAGTGCCACTGACCCACTGCTCTTAATATTGGAAGTTAAATGCCGACACCTCATCACCCAGACTGACTAACGCCGTCAAAAACCAGCGTAGAATGAAGATTTGAGCTTTGGAACGATCCAGAAGCACGTCGTCTCTTGAGCCTGGAGGTCTGTGACCTTAAGACTCCATGTTCCTCTGACCTGATCCAGCTCCAGCAGATAACCAGCATGTTGTAGGAAAGCACAGGACGAGTTCAAAGACGAGTCTAATGGACACGTCGTCTTGTCTGCTGGGTCCAGACAAACAGCTCCAGGTCCCCAGTCCTGGTTTACTTTCTCGTTCTATGGACGTTCATCTGAGCTGGAGGAACTGGGCAGCAGAACGTACTCCTGCCTTCGGCCTCTTTTCCGTCTTCTCTTGGTGATTCTCAGCCTCCTTCGTATCACGTCTAAAAGAGAAGAAAAAAATCCTCGTTTCTTGCACAAATAAAAAACAAACGCCAAGCAGAAACTCAAAGATCAGATTTTGTTGTCTGTTTTTAATGCGACCCCCCCCCCCCCCCCCCCACACACACACACACAAACACACACACACCTGCCACACTGTCGTAGTCCTGCTGGGGGTCGTGCCAGTACAAGCTGGGGGCGGTCCTCCAGTGGCGATAGAGGCGGGTGTGGAGGATGGACAGTGTGAGGAGGACGAGCAGAAAGCCCAGAGCTGCCGCGGCCCACACAGCTTCGTCCGTCCTGGGGGTCCTCTGCAGACCCACTTTCACTGCAGCAGCACGGTTCTGGGTGCAGTCGCAGGGCCCGTCTGCTCCGCATCCTCCACAGTCTTCACTGCCGGGGTCTCTGCGGGCTCCTGGCTCCAGCTCAGAGTCCTGATGAAGGTCAGAAGCAGAATGAGACTGCACGTTGCTGAGCTTTAGATTGGGATCTGCGTGTCTTCCTGCAGCCTGAGCTGCTGCATGTCTCGCCTTCTGATCCACACTTTGACTTTTCTTGCCTCTCTGAGCCGAGTCCTTACGATCCTGTTTGACTGGGTCTGTATCTTGGTCTTTAGACCTGGCAGCCAGGACTTCAGAGCTCACCGGTTGGTCCTGCTCGGTCTTTACGCCCCCTGAAGATCCATGTGGCCCGGGAGGGGCTGCTTTGTGACGGGGCTGCAGTGCCTCCACCTCGGCCCCGCCGTCCTGAGCCTCCTTTAATCCAGATGAATCGTTCTGAGGCGCTGACACAGGAACTGAAGGTTTTCCTGGAAGTGAACCTGCTGCTGATCCGTGCGTGCTGCTGTCGTTCTGTGCGAACTCTGCTCGTTGGGGGTTCGTTCTGCTGGTTTGACTGGTCCATAAACTGAAGCTGGTAGTTGTTTCGTTACGCTTCCTGCTGGTTTCCTCTTGGTCTCTGACAGCAGCTCGACGTTTCCTGCTGTTATTTCTCTGTTTGTTTAGTTTTAGGTGTTCCCTCTTCGTGCTGGCCACTCCATCTGTGGTTCCTGTCAGGAGTGAGATGGTCCGCTCACAGCATCGCCTCAGGGTACCCTGGGGGGGGGGGGTTACAACAACACTTACTGCATTGTGCAGACTGCTAAAATCAGTGTTTGCTAACAAAACCAAGTCCTCAGACCTTCATCTCTGTCAGTCGCTGCAGCAGGTGCAGCCCGGCTGACCTGGTCAACAGGAAGTCGTACTTCCTGGTCTGGGTGACACCATCAGACTTGGGCTTCGTCGACTGGGTGACCTGCAGCCACTCACAGACGTCTGAAGAGACCACAGAGGTCGTTTCCAACGTGCGACCCCAGGACACCAAGGCTATTGGCTAAACACAGAGAACAGACACTAAAGACTTTCAGTCCTCAGGGCCCGTCATACGGACATGGAGCATCAGCGTATGCCAACAAATGGAAAAAAGACAAACATGCAGCTTAATAATGTTGTTCATGCACAAAATTGTCATGGAGTTAGGCATGAGTTACTAATAAGTTGACCAGCTGGGTAACTGTGTATGTGTGCAGGACTTGTCTCTGATCTACGAGCGCCTGATGTATGCATAACGTTAAATTGATGCCAAACTTAGGCAGCATGTTGGAGCGCATTGTGATGATAAACGTGACACCAGATATAAAGCTCTCTTATACCATCGTATGTCAGCGTGCTGGTAAACTTGCTCCTAACTTATGACTTACATCAGCGAGTTTAAAATCGTTTTTGATGCTGCCCGTCGCTGCGTGACGCCCTCAATCCTCTGCAACATGCTGAGCACAAGTTACTCTAACACTGATCATGAACTCTGCATCATAAGTCAAAAACGCTGACATGTACAAGTTGTGTATGTCATGGGTAAGTTATCTGGTCAACTTGTTAGCAATACAATCCGTATACATCCCAAATTTAACCGACATCAGTTCTCTAAACCGTTACAGTGTTTACAGAGCGGTGTAAGAGCATTAACAGTTTAAACGATAAACGGCAGGAAGGAACGATGTCACAGATGAAGTGGGTGAGTCACACGTGTTACCGACCCTGTGTGTGCTGAGCTGTGGGTGAGGCGTGATGATGTAATCTGGGAGACAGGAGTGGGCCAGCTGAGACAGGAGGTGACGTTCATGGACCGGTGCACAGGGATGGTAGAGCAAAACAGCAGCTCCACGCTGGAAAATAAACACACGTGATCACGGTTGCCCCACAACACATACACCTGCCGGCGGCGTGAGACTGATTCTCTGCTCACCACAGGGACTAAACCTGCGGCTCTGGAGACACATGTGGCTCTTTGGTCCCTCTGCAGCGGGCGGCTCTTTCAGGCTTTGACCAAAACTAAAATAAAACTAAATTTTATTTAAATTCTTGCCAACAATGAAAATGGCTAGTTTTAGCAGATTTCATGTCATTTTCAAATATGTGAATAATTGTACAAATACAAGGCGCAAAAGATGTGGATTACATCATGCTAGGAGTTTGTTAGTCACTTTAAGTCGACTTCCAGTCTCAGCGTGATCTTTCTCTCAAAACCAGCAGAATGTTTTGGAACAAGACAAGCTGCTGAGGAGGGACATGGTGAGTAACTTTGATAACACTAAGAATAAAACACAAAAAGCAAAGTCAAAGTAAACTACAGTATTTATTTTATTTTAAAAATGTAACTGGATATCTAACAAACTGGCCTAATTGTATACTGTGGAAAGTTAGGAAAGTTAATTCTTCAACAATTAAGAAAACTGCAGTTCAGCATTTTAATTTTTATAAAATTGTTAAAAATTGTGTATTTTTTCTTTATTTACATGAAACTGATCTTTTCTTTTGTATTAAAATGTAAAAAGCATAGACTAAAGCATCACTGGGACCAGTTAAAACAAGTTTTTTAATCAAGTCACTCATCCTCTGCTCTGAGCCGACTGGCTTCAAGTCTTCCAGCATCAGTTTGGACCCTGAACCCACCAGAGCAGCTCCTCAGACCTCTACAGTTACTCTGAGACCTAGCTGACCTGAAAACCATCAGTCCTTCGTTTATTTCCTCCCAGGCCCTCATCGAGGTGGCAGCTTCTGTTTTTCCTCCCCCATTTTTCCTTCTTCCTGCTCTGCTCTCTGAAGCGCCTGGGTCTCATCTCCCAAACATAAATTAAGAAGATTATGGATTTGGTATTGTGGGCGTTCAACTCTATTGATAAGATTTTTTCATCAAAACGACAAGGTCCTGGGGAACTGGCGTGTCCAGCTGAGACTCACGCTGTGGGGTACGTCATGGATTCGTGGGGAGTGTGGCAGTTGATGTGCATTACAGTCCTGTCTCAGGAGGATGTTGAAGACGTTTATATATTTGGAATTATGACTCTGCTTTTTGGCATCGGCGGGGCTCTGCTTAATCGACTTTTGAAGAAGACAGCGGGAGCAGTTTCGGCCATGGAAAAGCTTCTGAGTCAGTGTGAAGGTCTGGTCCTCGCTGTGGGAACTTTAATCGTCTGGTTTACGAGCTTAACCGTAAGGTGGAGGTGATTGAGAATCATAGACCACCTGCGGCTTCTGGGACTCGTCAGCGTGGTGGGTTCGACCTTGAAGGAGACTCATAGCATGGATGAGTGGAATGGAATCCCACAATTAGGCATTTTCGGAACCAGAACGCCCAGATGGACTCAAGGCTGAAGAAAAAAAAAAAAATCAAGCTTATCTGAATCAGACTCTCAACGGCCTCGGAGACCGGCTGACTATCAATTTCTCCTGAGACATGAGTACCCAAGGACAAAAGCTTCATCTATCGCACCCCCCCCGAGAACTTTCTGTGCAAGCTTATCAGAACTGCTGGCTGGAACAACATCTTCAAAAACTGTGGCTGATCTGAAAAAACGCTCATGGACAAATCTCAACACCTCGATGTCAAATGCAAATGTAATCATGTTTTAATTGTGCTGCTGGTAGAGTTTTGATGTCTCAAATCATGTCCTGATGGACAAGATGTGAAAGATATTTTTTTGTAATACCACTATCTACCCTCATGTTTCTCCCCCTTTTCCTATCTAAGATTATTATCATGGACAGCACATCATGGACTATCTCCCTCCGAACTTTGACCCCTACCAGTTTGCATATCGCACCAACAGGTCCACAGAGGATGCTATTGCAGTAGCTCTCCACACCGCGCTGAGCCACCTGGAACAACAGCACAGCTACATTCGAATGCTCTTTGTGGATTACAGCTCGGCCTTTAACACAATCATTCCGGACATTCTTATAAATACATTGGACAATCTCGGCCTCCCCCCACTCACATGTGCCTGGATAACAGACTTCCTAACCAATCGGCCCCAATCTGTAAGACTTGGTCCCCACCTCTACTCCACTCGTACGCTGAGCACTGGCTCCCCACAGGGCTGTGTGCTGAGCCCCCTGCTGTACTGTCTCTACACCCATGACTGCAGCCCGGCCCACAACAACCTCATCGTCAAGTTCGCTGATGACACCACAGTGGTCGGACTAATCTCTAAGGGAGATGAGACATTTTACAGACAGGAGGTCCTGGAGCTAGCAACCTGGTGCTCAGAGAAAAATCTGGCTCTGAATATCAAAAAAACCAAGGAGGTGATTATTTATTTCAGGAAGCGCAGCACCAACCTAGCCCCCCTTTACATCAACGGCGAGTGCGTGGAGAGGGTTCATACTTTCAGATTTCTTGGTGTCCATATCTCTGCTGACCTAAACTGGAAAGAGAACACCACAGCGGTCATCAAGAAGGCTCAGCAGAGACTACACTTCTTAAGAGTCCTTAAGAAGCACAACTTGAACACAAAACTGCTGCTGACCTTCTACCGCTCGTCCATCGAGAGCCTGCTGACATACTGTATATCAGTATGGTACGGCAGCTGCACCCTGGCTGACAGGGAGAGGCTTCAGAGAGTAGTCAAGACAGCACAAAAGATAATTGGCTGCCCTCTCCCCTCCCTGATGGACATTTACACATCACGCTGCCTCAACAGAGCAGAAAACATAATCATGGACTGTTCACACCCGAGTTTTGAACTGTCTGACTTGTTACCTTCAGGGAAATGCTACAGGTGCATCAGAACAAGAACAAACAGGTTCAAGAACAGTTTTTTCCCGAAAGCCATCACCACACTGAACTCACACATGCACTGATTTAATAATCTAACCTCCCAAACCCCTGGACTTCTACTGTGCAATACTACTGACATTTCATACTCTCAGTCACCTTAACTACCTCACTAATATCCATAATGTGCAATACAATTGTGTAATACTTGTATTTTTTACTTTCATTATTATATCTATATTGCGTTACATTTTTTATATTTTTAGTGTGTGTTTAATGTGTGTTTTCTTAAGGCGTGTTTTTGCACTGGAAAAAGGAGTGGCTCTTAATTTCATTGTACTGCGTATAATGACAATAAAGGCATTCTGATTATCTGATAAGGATAAAATGGCTGCGCTTTCTACAGTTGCAGCTTCGTGCACTCCGCCCATCTTTCGGATGACTGTACGTACATATTCACGTTGTACCTCGGTGCAATTCCAATAAAGTTTATTCTGATTCTGATTCCTTCTGCAGTTTGCACATAAAACAAAGTCTGTTTCCCCACAGTGGGTGTTCACCTACACCTGAGAAGAACGGACCGAGCCATACTTATCTAACAGATCAGATCTTAATACTGTCAACTTTGTATTGTTACCACATCAACATGTGGAAAAAACTGAAGCTTTTTAAAAAAAATTACATTTTATGTTAGATCTAAAGGTGATACTTGTTAGGTGCAGTAACAGTAACATGTCCTTGTTTATTCTTTAACGTTCAGTACACTGTAGGTGAGGGTTTGTCCATTAACACGTACAATGGGACAACGAGCCGAGCACAAAGTAAAGTACTATGTGTTGTCATTGTATATTTATATACAATGATGAATCCAGGTCTCTGCATTTAACCCATCACACCTGGGATACACCTAGGTGGAGCAGTAGGCAGCTCTGTAAGCACCCCGGGAGCAATTAGGTATTAGGTGTCTTGCTCAAGGACACCATGACATGTGGGAATGGCAGGGAGTTGAATCTGCAACTTTCTTGTCCCAAGTTGGCTGCCCTACCTCTACACCATCTCGGCCCCCACTACACTGTTTCTAAATATACGACTGAGTGTTGGGGTGCCACGTGGAGCTCATGCTGCTTTGGTTTCCATCTGTGACTGAAGCTGAGACAGAAGCAGCGCTTCAGTTTGACAACTTACATGCACGTTTCCAAGCCAGCGCTGAGGAGGACAATACAGGTACTCTCCACTCGCTGCGGTTACCGGCCTGAACGCTCCACTGCAAAACACACGAGCAGAAATACATACAAACCTTCAGATCTTTCTGCCTCTGTATTACAGAAGATGCAAAGATGATTGTCTGAGTTAAGGCCATTTTATTCGATCTGAAGCAGAGAAACGACCCCTCACTGACGCAGCTGCGTGATGAAAATTACAGCATTTTGTTCTGGTAATAGCTTCGTCCATCCCCGCTGTCTGCCGAAAAATGTGTGGCGCTCTCTTCGTGACAGATTTGTAAAGGCCAAGAAGTGGATGCAGGGACGAAATGAAGAGCCCTGTGGGAAGAAACCCGTGCCGGCGCTGTACGCCACTCTACAGTGGCTGGACGTTCATGTGAAGCGCTGGAAGAAGCACTGACATGGCGTCCAGTGCTTCACGAGTTCAGGTAAGCAATGGCTTTGTACGTAAAGTGGACTGCAACTGGAGGGGTGTCCCGAAAGCCCAGCATCGTGGGTCTCGTGAACTTTGAATGGCGTGTGCAAAAAAAAACAAAAAAAAAACGTCTCGCAACTTCATCGCGATCTGACTGCTCAGCTTCAGATGTAATATGAAATGACCTTTAGCTGTTTGTATAGCGAAAAACAAAACTTCAGTTCTGCAAACTTTTGTATCAAATTATTAAACTTTAACGTGAGCCCATTTTAGAACACCTACCTGCTGGGTATGGTGTTGGAGTAGGAGATAGGTCTGTCCATGCATACCTTCTTGGCTGGCTGCATGAAAAATAAATAAATACATTTTAAAAAAGCTCTCATTGACTTAGTAACCAAATGAAACCAAAAATGTCTGTTGCTACATTCCCACTAATGCATGCAATTCTTTTTTCACTGAACACACACAGGCTTTTAAATAGTCCAGCTGAAGCTGCTGGAACTAAGCTGTTATTTGTTTTACTTGAAGCATGATGTGAATTCAGACGTGTCACTAAGTGTAATGAAACATGGCTCAGACTTAAAGATTTGACCGAGTAACGTTTCCTGTCTGCGGGGTAAAGGCTGAGTGAAATTTGATCAATACAGCAACAAGAAAAGTGTTTACTCACCTCTGGGTCATACACGGTGTCGATGTTTGGAAGCCCCTGTGGACGAAAATAAGAAGAATCCCAATAAATCAATGGGAGGGGGCGTGCTGATGCTGAAAGGTGACTCTAAATGAGCCCAGATTTGCACTACAACACGTGCCAGATGTACAAAGATTATCTTTATTGCTTTCTTATGATTGATTTAAAACTTCCTGGTGTGAACACGCGCCAACACCTGCGTCACTGAAAGATGACAGAGATGAATGACTCAAACTGCAGAGGACATCACTGGTAGCAGTCTCCACACCATCCAGGACATCTACCACAGCCGATGTCTGCGTAAAGCACGCAACATCATTAAGGACCACACCCACCCAGCACAAAGACTCTTTCATCTACTACTCTGAGGCAGACGATACAGGAGTCTGTCATCATGTGTGGCTGTATCATGTACGTTACTACCTTACCAACATAACTCAATCATTCTCAGTGTTACTCACTACCTGTGTAATAACCTGTCACACAACCTGTGTAGTTAGTTATGTGAATGTGAAATATATATCACGTGCATTTAAGCTTATATTACCATTCTGAAATACTTATTCATACAAATTCATCCTATTTGCATCATTATATTCTACTATGTTGTTGTTTACTATACTTCGTTTGGAACTTGTAAAAATTATATTTCTTTTCCACTTTTTGGTACTTTATTCTGTACCCTTATTGCATGCTTGAGTATTTGTTTGTTTGTTTGTTTTTAGCGAGTCAAATCGGTTCTTGACTCTGTTAACCTGCTCATGACAAATAAATGATGTGCAACAGAGATGATGAGGCCGTTTCCATGGTTACCTGAAGAGACTCTGTCCAGATAGGAGCCGAACATCTCCAATAAACAGCATCTGGAGGCAGGTCCCTGTCCAAATACAGCTGTCTCACGCACACACACACGCACACAAATACTTAATATATGCAGTAAGTGCATACAGGCATAAGAGATAGAAAACAGAAATGGTACCTTTCCGTTGTCACATTCTGCTCCAGGAGACTCGGCGGAACCGGACCGAGCCAAACTGGCCCACAGCACGGCGGCCAGTACAGCCCCAGCCCGCCGCAGGGACCTCACTTGACTCGGGGGCATGGCGACAGCCAGTCAGCCATCGAAGTGGGTCCAAACCCGCAAGCTAACTAAAGACCAGCTGATGATACACCTACCTTTCTTAGCAGACATTTACGAACTGCAGAAGGCGGCGTTAAAAAAAAACAGCCAGCCCTACTTTTCCTTCTTCTCCCCTTCTATCTCCTCGAATAGGTCCTGAGCTGCTTGGTTGTTCTCACTCATAAAGTTAAACTAACGAGACAAAACCACCTGGTAATGGTTCAAACGCCTCCATAACTACTTCGAAGTTCGCACGAGCGACTCACAACAGAGGAGTTAGAAACAACGATCTATTTCCGTTTCCGTTTCAAAATAAAAGTGTTTCTTGAAAATTTTTTCCCTTTTAATTTCTTTTAGACATATTTTACACAACAGTTGTGTAAAATATTTTCTAATTATAATTTGGTAAATTTTAAAAGCAACCCCATTAATATGATTTTCGTACTAATAAGTACAAACAACTCTTATTTAGAAGTTTAAAATACTACTTCCGGAAATCTGACCACACACGTAATAAATAATAATAATAATAATAATAATAATAATAATAATAACGAAAAATATTATCCGCGCACCCTGAGAGGCGGCATAGCAGTACATGATTTAAATTACGTAATATTTTCATTTTTTGCAGTTAAACTTATGTTTTATTCCACACAGAGACGCTTTCTTGAATGCGGTTCATAGCCCGAAATTAGGTTAATTTAAATTAGGTAAAAACATCTCAGTTCCTCTCAGCTTGTGTGGTAAAAGAATCAAGTTCAGTCGTAAATTTAGCTGCAAAGTCGACCTGTTTCTCATACATTCAGTCTTGAAACCAGTTTGACTTGTTTACACCCGAACAGGTCAGTTTACCTGCGCAGTCTGCCCATCAGCTGCTTTCAAAATAAAACAACACATAAAACAAATAAATATAAATGTGACATTGGTTATTGCATCAAATAGGATAAAACATAATTATTTAAACAATATATGTATCATATTGGAACTTACTTTGTTTTGCAAGTCTTTTTGTTTCAAAATTTACTTTTAATTTGAAATGTATTTAAGGAAGTGTCTTTAATGTAGTGCAGGGCGTGCACGCGCCTGCTTATAGTCTCAACGCCCAGGTGAGTCTGGCACAGACCTGGACCTCCTGAGCAGAGGAGAACCTGGTCCTGGATGGATTCCTCCATCTCTGAAGGTTGTATTTTTTATATTTCACTCTGATCTCTTCAGAAGTCTTTTATTATTATTATTGCACAAACCAGAGTTCTGTTTATGATTTATGTTACGTTTTATTTTAAAAAGACCATTCTGTAGTTTAAAATAAAACCAATTAATTAATTTTGCTGTGCCTCACTTCTCTAATTTACTGTATTTGGTGAATAACCTGCTGCGTTCATGACTGAATGGCACATAGTTTTCAGTTTGCAAACATTATTGTAGTGATTTTTAAACACATGTTAAAATTTTTA